ACAACCTTGCTACTAAATTCCAATGTTAAATCATCAGCACGAGACTCTAAAGCTGTAATCGTTACTGTAGGATTCCGGATACATAAGAGCGTTGCAACCTGATCATCCTCTGTTATAGATGCACCCAGCGCTTCAAGCTGACTTGCCAAAGCTTTCATTTTATTAATATGCTCAGTCATAGATTCATCAATCCCCATAGTTGCCGAGATATTTCTTTCGAAGAAACAGTTTGTTCGCCAAAGACTTTACTTCATAGTGGTCTTCCAATTTTGACCATGCCTTCGCTGTTTTAGCCAATCGAACTATTGACAATTGTTCGTCCTTTAATGATAAACAGATTGTAGGAGAGCTTTCTTCTCGTCTTTGAAATTGTTTGCGTTGAGTTTCAGTAGAATCTTCAACAGAAGGCTCAACTCGACGCCGTTAACAATATCCCAAAGATCTTTATCTTCTAGGATCATTTGTAACTTAAATTTCCAAAGACGAAAGTTCTTCCATTAAATTTTTCGATTCGATACAACATTGCGTTCATCACTACCTGACGCCATTGTCAGAACTTGTCAAAAATACGGCTAATTTATCTATAAATTACACTCAACAAGTTTCAAACCGAACAGGCGCTCTCTGGGCCCATAACCTGTTAGTATTTAGTAAAATCATTCGGTTTGAGCAAACATTTATTTGATGTAGTGAGCTAATTAAATAAGAAGATTCAATACAAAACTATAATCGTAACGAACGACTCAGAGGAATGTCAATAGTTTATATATACAAAAATATCACGTGACTAAATAGACTGAACTATATATGTGAATACGAACTAGCGTTCTATTTTCGTATAGTGATGGTATAATCTTTAACAACTTTATCCAACCCAACTTTCTTGTACCCATTTTAATTGGTCTAAGCACGGTTTTAATTTTGATTGCCAGTCTGTTCGTGCATGATGTAACTGCAACCATTGATAAGCAAAATCAAGTGACATTTCTGCTTACTGTTGCCACGAACAGCTCGATGTATAGCAGCTAGATAACTAATTACTTCCAATTTATAGCATAACCAACCGTAAATTACTGCTAAAATCAATGAGGCTGTAAGAAATCGATGTACATTCGACAAATTGGATTTAATACAACTTATATGCACAAGAGTAGCTAAAATTCAAAATTTGTGTTAGTTCAGATTATTTTATGATTTTTATGGTAAATGAATGAATGCGAGTGCCATGCAACATTTTATGACACAAGTAATCATTTTTAACGTTTTCTGTTGCTTGCGTTTTCTTTCGAAAAGTAGTTAAAAATTCCGAAAATATAGCTTTCGCTTAATCATTTCTCAAATTTTGTCAAAAAAGGACGACCTACATTTGAGTTATGTGCAATCCTTAAGATATCTGATCAGTATATGTGTCATTATTGTCTACATTTACAGAGATAGTTCAGTAAAAGTGCAAAGAGCTCTACCAGAATCAAAGCTACTAAAAGTAAAAACGCGCAATCCAAATCAAATTCACTTTTTAACTTCTCAATTAAATATTGTCTCAAACATACAACTTACTCAGTAAATTATGGTTACGTTATGATAAATACGAAAGTTTTACAATATATATTAGTTTTACACAAAATTTGTTCTGCTAAACAGTTTTACCAACACTTAAAATTAGAGGCAGATCTAGGTATGTCAAATCAGTCACGCGACTGATGTTTATAGTTCAAAAAATTATTTATCAAATTTAATGATTACAATTTTTGTGATCATTTAATTACCATTCTGTAATCGTTTGGATTTCATCGTCAAATTTGTTTTATATATTTGAAAACTTATATAAATACCACATTAGTAAACAGATCAGTAGATTTTAACATATCTGGGCCAGTTGTATAAAACTTAGTTAACTTAAGAAGTAGTTAGCGTTAACTATTATAAATTAAACTGTGGTCACTTAAAGGGCATATGACTTGTTATATTTTTCTTACCAGGCAATTTTGTGACTTTCAAATGCACTGAATACGATTAAAGTGCTTATTTTGATTTTTGACGAAAATTTAACAGTCAAAATCTTTGTAGAAATACTCTGTTTTAGCAAGACCGAGCGCAACTTGCTCCTCAAAATCGAGAGGGTAACCTTATTTTAGCCAAGTGAAGACCTACTCAAGACATACCAACATACATAATAAACCATATAGATCCACTACTCCAAAAGTGCATTCATGGTCAAATAGAAAAGAAAGTGAATAGAAATAGGTTAACAGGTTTAAAGTCATTTTGCTTAATTTTTTCCAACTAGGAAATCAGTGTTTCATGTACTGCTTATTTGCTATATCCAGTGGGAAATTTTGCATCAATAATTTCTTTTAATTGTATTGCTTAGGAACAGAAGCATATGACAAAGTTATAGCCATTTGTAGAGAATTTTCTATTGTGAATGACATTCCACACTTATCTTCAGTGATACAAACCAGTGAACTTAAAGCATTTCATTCAACATTATACTAGTTTCATCCCAAGATGATAGCTTTTTCATACATAGGAACATATTGAAGGTATATTGCTAAATTATCTCTGTAGTCATTTGAACAAATTTATACAGCTTTAATGACAGATAACATTCAAATTATACAAGCTCTAGCTATCATACACTTCATTGAAAACATCAAACAGACCCAAAACAAACAAAGAATGGTCAGACCTATATGAGTATCCGGTATCTAAAATATTACAATGGCGAAAATTTGGTACGCACTGTGTCACTCCCACCAACATGCAAGTATGCCTATCCTGTAAGTTTTGATAACAACATTATATTTTGTAATTAAACCCGATTGTCACGTAATATTTAATCAACGGGCAGTGGATACATCTATGTATCTATCCATTTCTTTTCCAGTGGATGAAAAAAACTCTATTAGAAGAAAGGTGCTGAGGTGCCCTCCAAAAAGAAAGCACCGTGTTGTAAAAAATGCTCCATTCCCATGAAGGGCCACCCCAAGAACCGATGTTCAACCTAGTTGGATACTCTATGAAAAATCTGCAAATTATGAATAAGTTGATAAAAATTTGCTAAAATTAGTTGTCTTTTCCCATTGCTGACATGTATCCTATGTAATTGTTTTGTCATTGAGAAAGTCTTACGAATTTTAGTATATACGCAAGCAGGAAGTGGCTTATTGTTCGAATATCCCATGTGTCCAAAAACCATCGAAATAAACATTCTATACGCCACAGATCCATAAAATGCGTTCTCGTTGGCTTTGACGCTACATCTTTTTTCCACGTCGCCCGTTGGCAGCCGCTTGAAGTACTCGTCTATGTAAAACAACTGCTGGAAAATCAGAGTGTTCGATAATACAATTTATCGGATTTATTGATGCGTCTTGCGACTTGAGATTTCTTCCATCGTCTACTTCGTTGCATCAACAAAATTTTGAGGACACTGCAATATATTACCTTACTAATTCCCGCACTTGCATCACTTAGTTAATAGGAGCTTTAGCAAAGACTACGAGCACGACTACAAGTACGAATTGCGTTATTTTGGCGCGAAACATTGTTGCGACAACGTTTTCAATAGGAGTTTTAGCAAGAGTACGACTCATTGAGTTCTATAATAACTGGAGAGGAAATGTCAACAAAATTAGTATAAATTATTAGCGCGCGGCCGCGTGGTCAAAAACATGGCGGATTTTGGTGGTCAAAGTCAGCGGAGAGACGCGGGCTCATGAAATAAAATTTTTGTCGCCCACCCTGATTTGACCACCACGATAGCGAGTATAGAAAATATCAAAACTATTTATTTTCCTAACATAAACACTTTTTTAAAACTTTATTTATTAAACTGCCAACTTTTTGGTTTGCGGATGCTGAAATAGCGAAAGAAAAGGAACATTTCTTGACTCCGGTAAGTAGCACAGTATTAGTTTTACTATTTTGTTTTTAACACGATACTTGAAGAGTGTTTCTACTACTAAGTTTTAATTTAAAGTTATTTTGGTCCAGTCTTGTTTGTTCTTCACTTAATCGCTCGCCAGACGTGGCGAAGCTGTCAATTTTTATCGAGTTTTGCATCCATCTTGTATCATGATCAAGGCATCAAGCTAAACTCTCCTGATTTGAATTGAGTTTACCTCCCAAAAACGGGGCATAATTTGTTCATGTTTTTTTTTGAAAAGATGAAGGGAAGGTTTACAACAGAGTTGTGTTGAAATTGAATGCAGTGCCATGCAAAATTAATGAGAACTATGGTATATGTTGTATAATAAAAATAACTATTAAACTGTTTGCCTGCTCAATTTGACTGACTGTATAGTGTAGACAATTATAATGTGATTGGAAAGTTGGATTTATGCAAACAGTATTAAAGTACTACTTAGCGTTTCTGTAAATGAAGTATTTATTGTTATAGTAAACAGGTTACTACTTCAAAACCAAGATAAAAGTAGTGTGTTGAATAATGTGCTAAGATTTGTTTCTACCTTGAAATTTTGTTCAACAGTAGCTTATGATTATATTAATATGCATGAAAAATTAAACATATTATTGTCTCATCTCATCAAATCCATACTTGGTATGATTCCAGGTGATCCACAAATTCACATCGGATGCATTGGTTACAATGAAGTTGAATGTAGAAGAAGCAAAAATAGATGGCAAAGAAATTTTGTGTCTTATGAAGAATTAGTAGAAATCAATAAAAGAATTCTCTAAACAAATTGTAAACAAATTTAAATTTGCTCATGGTCACAACCTAGTCAAAGAAGCAAAGTCTGTCTTCAACATGTGACCTTTCCAATTATTTAGTTTCTTTGTACAAAATACTATTTTCGAGAAACTTGATTTGTAAGTCTTTCATTAATATTTTTTACCAAGAGATAAAAGGAACTAATTCAAAGGCTTGATGTAAAATACAAAGATTTAACAAGTGTTTATCATTTAATTCCCAAATGTTAGTTTGTACATATAAATAATTAGTATTGGTAGCTGTAAGTTGTTTAGCAAAACAGAAGAGTAGTAGTGCTCGAAGGTTAGCATTTTGAAAAATTATATCTTGTTCATGACATATATTACATAATTCCAAAAAACTGTAAGTAATGCACAATAATATCTATTGAACTTGATAAATTTCTTCACCTACACTGTCAAATAACTATTTTGCCTTCATGCAGCAATAGACAGTGTTTTGTCAGAGAAACCAATGCACTTTAGTTTCCAAGTTTGTAATTTCAATGGAAAATTAATGTAGTTCTGTTCAGTAATAGATCCAAGATTCTGCCAAGCTGTTTACAAAATACAAATTACCAAGCAACAGTGTCATGGTGTTTTGAATCTTTTCTTTTTGTAGCTCTTCTAGTTCAACATACTTTCTTTATGAGTTTTCAGTAGATTTATCAGGTAATGACAATACACTTATGATACTTATCCATGGTAAACTTTCTGTTGACTTATGTCGTAGGACTGAAGCAAACATTTTCTCGCTTCCTTAGGAGCATTTTACACAGATTTATCCATTTGAAGCAAGAAAATAGGTACAAAACTGTCTACAAACAGTCAAACACACAAAGCATGAAATAATGTATAAGTTTGACGAGATTGACAGGTCTAGTAAAGAATGCCGTTTGATTTTCACTTTTAAAAGGCTAAAATGTCATAAAATAACTTAATGTTACATCCAAAATATGCGTTTCTCTACCGTCGATCTCTTTATTTTGATGTGTGTCTGTACTGTGTTTTTCATGCAATGCTGAAGCATTATTTTCACATGATATGCTGTCGGTATCGTAATTGTTTTTTTTTCTCACTTGTTTTCGTCCATACAAACAGTATTAGAAATCAGGAGGGAGTGAATATTGAAAAAAATTTTTAAAGTGGAAGTTTTGACCACCAAAGCCATACCGCCATGTTTTGACCACGGGGTCCAGGCATTGAGTTCTATAAACCTGGAGGGGAAACGTCAACCAAATTACTATAAATTATTGAAGCGGCCGCGTGGTCAAAACATGGCGGATTTTGGTTGTCAAAGTCATGGAGACGCGGGCTCATAAAATAAAAATTTTCGCCCACCCGGATTTGACAACCACAATTGCGATTACATAAAATATCAATGCCAAGCACAAAAACTTTTAGAAATTTTATTTTTAAAACATGCTGCAAACTTGCTTGGTATACGGATGCTGAAGTAATGCCAGAAAAGGAAACATTTCATGATACCGGTAAGCAACGTAAGATTGTTTACCATTTAAAGTGTTCAGTGTTTTGTTTTAAGTCAATACTTGAAGTGTGATGGTATATATTTTGTGAATGTTTTTACTTCTAACTTATAATTTAAGTTATGTATATCCAGTCTTATTTGTTCTTTACTTAATCGCTTGCTGGACGAGGCAAAGCAACCAGTTCTTATCGAGATATGCATATCTTAAAACTCCTTGTTTCAACTGAGTTGAAATGGAGGATTTTTTCATGATATTTTTCTGAAAATATGAAGCAAATATTAAGGACAGAGCTGTATTGAAATCAAATGCAGTGCAAGATTAATTAATGAGCTCTTTGGTACATGTTGTACAATAAAAAATACCTGTATTAAACAGCTAGCCTGGACAATTTGACAGATTATGGACAATCATGATGATGGTGTGTAATGGTTTGTTTTATAAAAGTTTTATGAATGCCATCTGGTGTTTCTGTAAATGAATTGTTTGTTACACAGTGTAGTAAACAGGTTAGTACATCAAAATCAAGATAAAAACTACTTTGTTCAATAATGTGCCAAATTTTGCTCCTACTTTGAAATATTTGCTCAAGCAAAGCTTATCATGACATGCATGAAACATTAAATACAGTACTGCATCATCTGACAAAGTCCATATGTTTTTCAATTCCAGGTGATTAAAAATTCACATAAGATGCATTGGTTTGCAATGAAGTTGAATGTGGAAGAAGCAAAAATTGATGACAAAGAACTTTTTATGTCTTTTGAAGAATTCCGATATCATTTAAAAGAATAAGAGTAGCAATCTAGTAAAAGAAGCCACATCAGCCTTCAACATGAGACTTTTCCAATTATGTATAGTTATTTTGTACAAAATACTATTTTAGATAAACTTGATTTTTAAGTCATTTACTGATATTTTTACCAAAAGACAAAAACAAAATTCAAGGCATAATGTAAAATTCAAAAATTTGTCAAGTTGTTTGAACCTAGAAAAAATTAGTATAGGTAACTGTAATTTGTAAGGACACAAGAGAAAAAGTAGCAAGAAGGTTAGCATTTTGAGAGTTAATAAGTTCTTGACATACATTACACAAGGCCATAATATTATAAATAATGTCTGTATAATAACAATTATACAACATGCTAAATATCTTCACCTACATTATAATTATTTAAACAGGTTTGCCTTCATGCAGCAATAAGAAAAGTGTTATGTCAGAGAAACCAATGCACTTTAATTTAAAAATCGCATTTTCAATGGGAAATTAATGTAGTTCTGTTCAATAGTAGATCCATGGTTGTCAATGACAATCCAGTTACTAATATCTTGGCTCAAAACAGAACCAGCAACATGATTATAGAATTTCTGAATTTCGTTCTTTTGCTCTCCTAGTTCGAGATATTTTCTTCATAAGTTCTCAGTAGATTTATCAGAATATCATAATACCTTATAAGACACCCAGAATCAATCCTACCAAAAAACTCAAAAATACATACCTACTTATAATATATTTCCAGTCGACTTAAGTCGTAGGGTAAGCTAACTTTTCTAACTCCTTTTTGGACATTTTAACTAATATTTACCCATCTATTCAAGAAAGACAGTTGCACGAAGCTGTTAAAAAATAGTCAAAAACACAAGTATTGCGCATGGGATTATGCATTAAAGCTTAACGACACATTGACAGTGTAAAGAATGCCGTTTGATATTTATTTCTAACATAGCTAAAGCATTACTTGACAAAACATACGTTATTTTCCAGTAGATTTACCTCATTTAAATGTGTGTGTCTATTTCACAAAAACCTGAAGCATTATTTTCAATATTTTATGCTTACGGTATCGTGGTTGTTTTCGCTGGTTGTCATTGATATAAGCAGTAATACAGTTCCGGATTCGGGAGGGCGAATGTTAAAAATTTTTCTCAAAGTGGAAGTTTTGACAACGAAAATCCGCCATTACCGCCATGTTTTTGACCACGGGGTCCAGGCCCCTTTGCCCCTCCAGGTCTTATACAGCTCAATGGGTCCAGGCCCCTTGGCCCCTCCAGGTTTTATAGAGCTCAATGGTACGACTACGAGAACGAGTACGAAATTTGACCGTAAGGAATGGCACGAGGAAGTTTGTCGCTATCGCTTCGTCAATATTTTGCTTTAGTTAAACAACAGAACGAGTTTTTTGTAAACACCGACGTTTTAGAACTACGGTCTATTTGTCAATAATGATATCAAAGAATCGATAATACTGGTTTTGCGAGAATAGGACTCTTTAGACTGAAAAATCTTCACTATTTTAAGTTTTATGTACGATATATTGGTACTATTTTATTGTTTGTTTACCTTTTGAGTACGAAATACATGAAAGTTTTGCAGGTCATATTTTTTATCACATCTGCGCTCAAAAAGGGTTCTAGTAAACTGGATGCTCGAAAATAGTAATAAACTAATTTTACAGAATGAAGAAATATACCTACTTTCTAAAAGAAGATTAGTCGCGACTACGAATTTTTACAAAACATCGTACTCAGATTGATGACAGCTGTGTTGTTGTTGTCGCAACAATGTTTTCGCGCCAAAATGACGTAAATCGTACTCGTAGTCGTACTCGTAGGCTCTGCTAAATCTCCTAATTGTGAACACGTAGCCGTCATCAA